GCGTGCTTGAACTAAATAACAAGATGTAAATTGCTTTGTGAATATAATCACAATACTAATTTGTCTAAAATATACAATTAGACTTCATAACTTACTTTTGCAGTATAAAGAAAATGACTAATACCGGTTGTGGCCACAACACTTTGTCAAATAACATTTCTTTAGCCATGATTAATTTCTTTTTGTTTACTGCAACCCTTAATTCCAATCTCAACATGGAATATAAATATCACTGTATAAATACATTCACATCTTATTGTCTTATCCAGTATTGGTGACTACATCGACAATTACCAAAGTGTCTTTTACCCATGAAATATTTTAATTCATCTAATATTTCATTACGGATCGGTCACCACACCAATTTTAGTCACTATTCCAAAGAATAGTTAGAATTTCTCTTATGTCATAACACATAGGTTCACATTTTTATCAACACTTTGATAAATAATTGACATTCATTTATAATACACCACAAACCAAATTAATATTAATTATCAACTCTACAACATGTAGACATGGACAAGATTAACAAGTCAATCATACTGCATAATTTTCCCATTAATCTCTCTCTCCAACATTTCTGATAAGACATAAATTAGCACAAACAACATGATTCATTTCCAGACAAGTGACATAGTCATATATATATATGGGACAAAAATGGAATTATCTCTTTTAATTCAAAAGATAAATTCCCACATTAAGAACATGATTCGTGGTTAACCATGTCTACCACACAAGTGAAATAAAGATTGAGGACATCCTATCTCACAAAATTTAAAGTTACTTTAAAAATAACTTTCAATTGATTATTAAAAAATAATAATCAACACAAAAGATGCCTCAAACTACTTCCAATTAAATTGTGATTGCATTTGTTTTGAATCATAGATTGACCAATCAATATAAAATTTCTATTCAAATACAAATTACATAAATTAGAAATTCTAAATTATTTATTCAGAAAATTTACCAAGTATGTATCATACACTCAATATTTTCTCAACTTCAAGAGATCACAAACAAAAAATAATATCTAGACTTTTATAATTTGACTTTAAAATACATTCTTGAAACTTCCCCAAATAATAGATACTAACTCTTGTGGGTCTTTTCTTAAATTCAAAACAAGGATTTTAAATTAAATAAACATAACAGTGGGGCCAACCCATAAGGCTACAAACCGGGGAAAAAATTAAACCAAAAAAATTCAGGTTGGTCTTTGACAGCATAAGCGTCCAAACAAGACCATGCACAACAAATAGTTGATTGAAATTACTAATAATGACAATTAAAATTAGAGATTTCAATTCAACAGCAATGAAAACTCAGGGGAGTCATATAAAAATAAGATTCAGATTTTCAAAATAAGAAAATTTCCTTAATTTCCTGTTCTAACTTCAGAATCATATTAAGAAAAGATCATGCAAATCAACTTAGATATATACACACAAACATATAGATTAACTATAAAACCAGTTTAATAAAACCTTCAAACAAATCATATTAACAATATTCTACAAAACTTAAAAGTTTCATGTAAATTGATAATATGTAAATAAAATAAAAAAATCATTTGTTTCACAAATAACATGTAAAATGTGCAGAAATAAAAGTTGACCCAAGTTCTGTCACCGAACACTGAAAGTTGCAGAGATTTTACTTTTGAATTACTCATTAATTGTAAACATATACCAACAAAAATTATTTCTATCATGTAATAGAGAAAGCAAACCTTAAAGGGCATAACAGTTTCTTTTATGGCATAAATTCAAAATTGATCAATAACAAAATAATTTCAAAACATGAAATACTAATATCTGACAATTTGACTTTCATCAAATGCATACATATATATCTTGTTTCATGTTGATTAAAATTTAATACTTTTATATTAAATCACCATGTCAAACCCCCTCACTACTAACAGTTACAAAAACAAACCGTGATGTCCTCTTATTACAAATTAAGAATTTGAATTCAACCCAGCCTCCCTGTTCATATGATGAAACATAGTGACGATTCGTAATCACCTACTCCGGCACTAATCTGTACCCACGGCAGGCTACTACATTTTATGATTAAAAAAAAAACAAATGTATACATGTTTTGAACCCATATAATAAATAATCAAAATCATGTTTCATTTTTCTAATACCCATAACCAAACCAGATTCATGACCATAGACAACAAATGAATTGTCTAGAGGAAAAAATTTCCTATTCTTAATTTACCTACAATTGTTGTGTGATGGACCCTTTGATTACCATGCAATCAATCAAATTGAAATTGTATCTTTTTTTTTTTTTTTTAATCTCCAAAATATATATAATTCCATCTTTTGAAAGAATCACGTTGAAGCATAAGCCACATATACATACTAAATGTATTACACAGATGAAAATTTGGTAACGAATAAACTTTACCCGAGAAAAATATACAAATTCTATCAGAACAACTCTGGTTATAAGCATCAATCTGAAATTTGTCTTAAAGAACTAAGTAGATAAAACAATAGCATTTTTTATGTTTCTAGAACAATTACAAATTGCTCACAAAAGTCACAACTCTTGAAACCATAAAACAGGTATTATAATTTGAAAGTTGTTATTGGTTTCTCTGTTTCGAACGATGGATTCAAAAGCATTAACACATCACTGGCCAAAGTACATTGACCCACCAAAAACCAAAAACTGAACCAATTATAGCATACAAAATGTAATGAAGAGAGAGACAAAGAAGCGGTGGACTCAATCTCCGAGTCAGCGTTCCGAAACTCGAAGTTGGACCTCCGTCGGGTCCGAGTGAATATGCCAGCATCCCATCCGCCATGAACAACCCGAAATTCCTATCCGACGTCGGCCCACTCAATCCCATAATCATCTCCTTCTTGCCGTCAATTCTCTGCAATTATTCATATGAAGGCAAGGTGTTGCTTTTACAAAAACAAACAAGAAGATTCAAATGCTTAAGGCATCTTCTTCATTACGAATTCATGGGGATGAAATTTATATATCATTCAACTCTACACATCGGCGGTCTGTGCCTTTTTTTTTTTTTGTGATGTTCCTATGTTCATGAACTTAGGCCAACAAGATGATTCTCAAACCAATAAAATAAATCTAATGATTGAATATTTGACAACAAAATCAATCACTTACCAGAGACAATAAAGAAAAAATTCCTGATACAAAAACAAACTTATTCTGAAAAATGCATTCAGTTTCTCAAAATCTAAATAACTCCAAATTTGTTTTGTAGTGTTTAAACAATTATGTATGGTATACATACCTTTTAATAATAATCAAATCCTGTTTAAATAGTTCCAATTCTGTTTAATCAAATCTATATAATATAATTGCACAGTATAAGTACCCAAACACATACAAAAATAAATAATTATATTTTTCTAAAAATCATAAACAGGATCAAAATCTATCTTAAGATTGTTAGAAAAATAATACCAAACTATATGGAAAATATAATTTAAATTATGCAAACGATTTTTGGGCAAAACCAAAAATTGAAATAAATCAACATAATAACGTGATAAAACTTACAATACATAAACAGATAAAACCTGATCGAGTCGAGTGTGTGACACTATTTCCTTAAAACAGATTCGTCCTCCCACCGGTGCTTAGGATTCAATGGACGTCTATCTCCTAGGATACAACGATTAATGTCTTGCATTAGCAGCACTACTATTACAAGCCTAGTGAACTTCGCTGTGTATGTACTCTCTTTATAGGAAAATTAGACTCCGGAGATATGAAGAATAAATGCAAAGTGAAGAAGAAAATGACAATTCTCTATATAAATTGAAATGAAGGAGATGAAATTTATAGACTTCTATGTGACTCTTCAGAAAGGTTGTGACCCTTCAAAAAGACACACCCTTCCATCTCAAGAGACACAACCATCGGAGTAAATTTAAATTCAAATTTTCTAACAATATTATATTAGAACATGAAGGTAGTATACTTGCCTTGCATTTCATTCACATTTATGTAGTGTCAATTTTATAAATGCGTGTTGCACATATATGACCGTTCTTAATTTACAAATGTTGCAGGGGGACGATTGAGTGTTTATGATGCTTTGCAGCATATATTTCCAATTTTCATTCAACGACAATGGACAATTTAGTTTTTTCTTGTTCTTTGGGGATCACTTTTCTTGCTTACATTACTCAAAAAAGACTATAAGGCCAGTGTTTACGGGGACAACACAAACGTGGATGAATATTATATTTAAATTTATTATTTGATGTGTCATCACTTTGTTAGTAATAGATATGACCGGTGAAATTCATTCAACCAATGCAATTATAACATAGATTAAATATTCAATGTAATATATAAATACTAGCGTATGCCCGTGCCTTCAGGCACGGTATAAATAATATTGATACACATATTTTACAAAAATCAATTAACATAAATTATTAATATTGGTATCACATCCTTTACAAAAAAAATCAATTTAAAATGATAATAATTTCACTGTTATAGAAATCAATTATAATAAATTAGTTCAAGATATCGTAAAATGGCAGGTCGTTTAAGTTAAAATATAATTTATCAAATTCATTACTAAAAGTTTAAATTAAAATATTAATTTGTATTTGAAATTTTTATTAAACTTTTTATAGAATTTCAACATCTAAAAAAGTATAGTATTTAAAATGCTCTCTCTCTCTCTGTGTGTAACGTCTCTGTTTCTCATTTTCTCCTCTCATCCTCTCTCATCTCTTAACAAACATTACATTTTCTCTCAGAGCTCAAATAACAAACCCTTTATTTCTTTTGTTTGATCTTCCTCTCTCTGTATTTTTTTTCACTCTATTTTATCTTAAATTTGCGATTTGATTTTGTTAAATCAAAAAAAAATCAACATCCATTTCAAACGCTTTTTTCAAAACCATAAAAAATCAACACTCATTTTCCATTAAGAAATTAAATCCATTTCATAAATCAAACTAAAAATAAAAATGTATTTCTAAAATCGAAACCCATTTTATAAAGATCAACTATTATTTTAAACCTAAAACATTTTAAAAAATTAAATCCAAATCCATAAACTACATAAAAATTAAAAAAAAATAAAAATCTATTTAAAAAAAAAAGAACACACACATAAAAAAATTAAAAAAAATTAAAAATCAATTTAATGGTTAGAAACACAAAACCCACACCTTGTCCATCAATTCCCCACTTATTCTCTCTCCTCCATCTTCCACCACTCATTCTCTTTCATCTTTGAGATATCTCTTTCATCTATGAGATACATCTGCCCTACAAATGAACATTTCAACATTTCAACATTAGTAGATTTTCTTTTAATTTTTATAAACTCAAAGCTCTTCAAATTAAAAATCATTTATTTTTTTTCCTCTCCAATTTTCTGCTTCGTGTGCTCCAGATCTACTCTTTCATAAGATAAGTTCAAGTTTCTTAGTATTTCTATATGTGTGTATATCAGACTATTAAAATAAGGAACCCATTAAAATTTAGTGAATAAAAAATTAATCCGGAATTGAATAAAAAATTTAGAAATGCAAACGACTGCCTCCATCTGCAAATGCAAAACTTCAGCAGTAGCACTTCATACACACATTTGATATACTATTATACTATGTTTTGGGAAAATGCATGATCTATTGTTGTTCCAGTAGATTGTATACTATTATGCAACAACAAAAATCAAGCAGATCCAGCAACTCAAATCAATGTTTTCAAATTTTCTACAACTCTTGCCACAACGAAGCAAGCCTAAGACAGAAAATAAAATCCAGAACATAAATAAGTCATTATGCTGTGTAGTTTTAAAAACGCTATTATCATAATATCATTCTTGTATAAAATCAAGTTTTTACATCATCATTTTAGTGGGCTTTTTTCTCTCTAAAATTTTAGTTTTCAAATCATATTTTTTCTCCATCACAATTCTCTATGACAAACACATTACACAACTTTCAGTAATTAAACTTGATAGATAAAAAAAAAGCAGTATATATTGAGTCTCTTGCACCTGCTTAAGGCTCCTTCTTCACCTGATCAACATTGCCACCGCCATAACCCAGAGCTCCCATGCTAAGATCTTGATTCTCTCCGTCGACAATTCGCTTGTTTCGTAGATTCAATCCTAGAAAATCACAGCCATTGATCGGAGGAGATAACCCGAAGTTTTCGCCATTAACGCGCTTCTTCTGCAACAAATCCCAAAAAGATTAGGAAAAAAAATATATAAAAAAAAAATGGGTTTTGATTTTGAAACATTACCTTGTGGCAGAGACCACAGTGTTGATCATCAGAGTAATAATTATAAGACCTTAAGTTTGGGATTGAAGAGAGCTCTTCTACATTGAACCCACTCTGTAAACCCAGATTCAGACCTCCAAATCCATATGAATCAGCCCAGAGAAACCTCCATTTCGAATCCTCTGACCCATCAAAGCTTGGTTCAGAAAACCCCAAAAAGAGAATTTTACCTTGCGATCAAACTCTTCTGTACCGTAGCGTATCGAGTTGTTTACTGAAATGAAGAGGAGAATCAGAGTAGTGTATCGAGTTGTTTACTGAAATGAAGAGGAGAATCAGAGTAGTGTATCGAGTTGTTTACTGAAATGAAGAGGAGAATCAGAGTAGTGTATCGAGTTGTTTACTGAAATGAAGAGGAGAATCAGAGTAGTGTATCGAGTTGTTTACTGAAATGAAGAGGAGAATCAGAGAACTTACCTTGCGATCGCGAAGTCGACCCAGCGAGCGAAATTGCTTCTGGAATTTGTTGGGTCCCAATCGGGTCTCAAGATCACGAACTTGATCTACAGAACCGAAATCCAAATTCGTTGTGAAGGTCCAGAGGTTTCTCCATCTGAAAATATCAAAAAAGATAAAGAACAATTGCAAGAACAATTGAAAAGTGATCTGACCTGGAGAGCAGAAGAAGAAGAAGAACAGGGCTGGAGAGCAGAGAGATAAAAGAGGGATGGGTGAGAACAAAGAAGAGAAAAGATAAAGATAGAAGGAGATGAGACGTGGGTGAGTAGGCTGGAGATGAGACGTGGGTGTGCAGTTACTTTAGTGTTTGGGCGGGAAGGGGATTGACACATATTGAATGGGTAATCTCAGCCGTTCATGTAAATAGGCAAATGAATCTTCACCATTCAAATGTCTTAGTAGGACAAATGTCTCTAGGATATTTTCAAAATCCGTTCTGCTTTATTATATAGATATATATAGTATCTTCTCTTATTCTATATAAAATCTAAACTCAAACCTAAAACCGTATAATATCTTCTTTTATTACTTTTGTTTGTTAGTTTTTAGTTTTAATTTGTAATGGTCTAAATACTTATGGTGAAACCAATTTTCTTATGGTTGTTTAAATTCTAACACAGTATGTCACTATTATAGAAATAGATGTTGCTATTGTGGAACTAATATAGCGCTATGTTTATATTTTTATGAAATTAAAGTGTTATATATATATTTTTTTGTTATTTAATTATGTGAATCCGTGGTCCTAAACCGATCCAATCCGTATTTAAATGGATTGGTTCAGATTGGTTCCATGATTTAAACGGATTGGATTGGTTCCAATTTTTCAGGAACCGTAGATAATGGATTGGTCCTGATTTTACTCCAATCCGGTCCAATCCGAACCATGCTCACCCCTAGAATTTTGATATAAATGTTTATGGACAGAGCTTCTCTCTAGACGGGATGGTTTAGTCCGGGCCTGTGGCCCATACGGATTTTATTTTGATAATTTGAGTCTAAATCTTTTAGGTTTTTGAATGTAGATCATCTATTAAAAATTTAGATTGATTTAATAAATGTAAAAAATTTAGGTTTTTGAATCTTTTAAGTTTGTTTCCAATAATTTTAGCCCTTGTTTGATTTGTGTATGGGAGAAAAATTCCTGAAACAATCTCTTAAAAAAAAAAAAAAAGAAAATTTGAGAATTAGCAAACCAAACAGATTTTCAAAAACAAATCTTAGAAAAATATTTTTAAATTTAAAAATCGAATTAAATCAAATCAAACCAACCATATTTTACATTTTTAAAACTCAAATCAAACCAAGCCAAATCAATTATATTTTTTATTTTTAAAAGTCAAGTCAAATCAAATCTGTTAGAAATTGGGCGCCCATGTGGCATGACCCTTTGAAGCTTTTGAACTTGAACCTTTTGAACCTTATCTATGTAAGTTTGAATTTGAATTCAAAACTTATTTGGATAACCATTCAGAATATCTACATCTGTCATATCAATCGATATGGATAGATGGATAGATAGATATTGGTTGTTATATCTGATTATATATTTTATATATAATATATTTAATAGATCAGATACGTATATCAGATATACGTTATGTGGTTTTTTACCCATAACCTTTTTTCCAAAACTCTCTCTCTGACTCTCTCCCATTAAAACAACGATCAAGCCTCTGCACTGTGACTTGTGTGGGTGATACTCATTTTGTAGTATCACTCCACTGCTGGGTTGATTGATCAGATTCTAAAAGCACGTGATTTACCCACGAGGTTCTTCTCTAAAAGGTATGATTCTGATATTTTATCCGCTGCGTATATTATGCTTTATGATTTACATTGGTATCAAAGCAGAATATGGGTATTTTCATGCTTATTTGTATGCGATAAAATATGTATATAATTTTATACAAATATACATACACATTATATGCATGAAAATTAGATTGAGAATGTGTTGCATCTCATTTTTATGTCCATCAAATGTGTTTTTTGATGCCATAAATGTTTTTGTTGTGAAAAATGGAGTTCGACAGTACAAAATCGAACCAGAAAACACCCTGGAAGGCGGAGCATGGGCCTCACGCGCCACCTGACGCTGTGGGAGGCTTCCACGCACCTCCACGCGCCAGACGCGCTTCCGACGTGCCTCCACGCACCTTCACACGCGCATGCCCTCCGCGCCCCACACGCGCGCCGCGTGCCGAGCCGCACACCAAGCCGCGCACGTTGAGCCGCGCCGTTTTTCCTCTGCCGGCTTGACTGCAGATGTTAAGGGTCTGTTTGTTTTGTTTTTAAATTCTGAATCGCGTTAAATTGTCATAATTAATTTGTTATAGCTTTGTTTTAAGCGTGGTTTATACCGTTAGACTCAGAATTAATTTTTTTTATCTTCTGTAAAATTTTGAAAATTTTATGAAAATAAAAAATATTTTTCCTGAAATAATAATTCATTATTTCTGGTTTAAAATGCATTTGGTGTTGCATGATTAAGTTTCTGGGGCTGAATTTTTTATTGTAGACTTCTGAAAAGTTCTACTATTTACTGGTATTATTGTTTTAGTTTATCAGTTTCTGAATTTTTTATTTCTAATTTTATGTGTGTTTATTAGTTATTTAAAATTCCAGAAAATCTCAGAATGGTGTATATTTTAATTATGGCATAATCTGATTATTGTTTCCGTTTATCAGTTTCTGGATTTTTTATTTCTAATTTTATGTGTGTTTATTAGTTATTTAAAATTTCAGAAAATTTCAAAAGTGATATAGTTTCTGTTATGGCATAATTTGAATATTAAATACAGCATATTGTTATTTTTTGCCTAGAGTTTCTAATATGTTGTAATGAGAATAGCATGGTTAATTGTTATTTGTTTAAATTTCATTATTAATTGTGACATAGCATGAGTTGGTTGTGAATCTACATTATGATACTATTGTATGAATTAGAATTTTTTATCATGCTTTTAGACATGCCATAGTCAGTGGGAGGTTATTCGGTTGAGAGATATCTTTGTAGATTAACTCCCGAAAACCAATATTTTGCGCATAAATTAAATTAAATTTTGGATAATTGTCACCTGTGGTGCAAGAGATGATTACGAGCATAGCGGATTTTCGATCTTGCGACTTGTGTAATATTGTCACTATTTAATTTAGATTTTTGTGGCAAAATTATATTATGCTAATCAAATTAATCCCAATGCAAATTTCTCTCTAAATTGACTTAGCTTATGGAAGTTAATTGGTTGACCTAGACTTAGTAAAGATGTTCAAATGTGAACAATGTAATCCCATTCTTTAGATGAGCAAAAGTCTTGGAGACTTTAGGTCAAACCTTAATTGAGCCAAAATAAGGAAACATGACTCAAAGTCGCCGTGGTTTTGTTGCCTTGTTTGGCACAATAAAAACTAATGTGTGCGTTATAGTTAGCGGCACGCTACATAGTTTTGGTTGGAGAGTTTTGGAGTTATGATTTTAGTAAGCCCTCAATAGATCTGTATATGATCTTGACTATTAAGCTGCGTTGATTGACTTTGTAATTTGACTTGTAAATAATGTTACATCATTGGATGAAGTAACATTCAAGAGTCACGTCATCCAAGAAATGCGAGCTTAAATAAATTAGTCATTAAGTGTAAGACGAGTAGCCAGTACGAGCAGTGTTTTGCTCTCTATCCAATTATTGGGAGTGGATTGAGCGAAATTTCATGCACTATAATAGTGTGCGTTGAAATATCACGTGAAGTTAAAAGATTAGCGCTTAGAAGCTGCAAAATCTATTAACACTAAGTGAAAAGATTAGCGCTTAGTGGCTGCAAAATCTATTAGCATTGCCAACTTGTTTAAGTCTGGACACTTACTATTTCCACACTTGAGTGTGAGACATGAGGAGGGGCTCCTTTGTATGATTCCTTAGCTAGGCTAACGTTTTTTAATAACGTTTACCAATAAGCACAAATGTTGCAGCATAGTAATGAAAAGGTCAAGGCCGACAAGGTTGTTGTGACTCTAAGAATTTGACGCATCGTTTGTGAGAGCATTGTGTTGAATTAGATTCTTTAGCCTAATTCGTGCTTAAGTTACTTCAGGAGCTGTCATAAATTGATAGGTTATTCTCTTCTTCTTGTGGATAGTAGAATTAATTGCAAGTAACTATGAAGCGAGAAACAAAGATGGCAAGAGGAGTATCGTCATCTTTCAATTAGATGCAGTAAAGTGTATGGAGAATAAAATTAACTTGTAAGTGCAGGGGATTAGCACTTACTAGTTAAATTTGCGACTTAGGCGCGCTTGGTATCCCCATGGCATTCTTTTATGATCTAGTGAACATGAATTAGTCATGAGTCATTACCTAGTTGGGCCTAAACCTTTAAACTTGTCTTCGAGAACTCACACATTAAGATGATAGGAATTAGTTTATGACATTGGTCATGAACTGGTGGCTTATTATACTTAATCACATTAATGAGATGATGACACGATGGTTTGAGTAGGCCTTCTCGGGCCCACTCGCTTATGACATCCTGCTCTCATGTGAATGTGTAACTTTGTTCGCAATGGTTGCGCACAAGTAAGTAGGAAAGCCATAGAAAGTCATTTGTATTGGCGCATTTAGTCCACTATGATATTTGTGACTAGATATGTGTGAGGGTATGATAGCTAAGCCTCAATCTCGACACATTTATAGATTACGATACACATCTGAGTCAAGACTATTTGATCTCCCATAAGTCAAAAGTTTTGAGATGATTTTTTGACATTGTACATATGAGGTCGAGATCAATTAGATAAGAGCTTTTGTGCTTTTAGTTTTGACCAAGGTGGCGAGTATCTATTTGAGTTTTTTTTTAGAAAGCTCTGTAAAGAGAGACGGATGCTTAGAAAATTGATTATTCCTAATACTCAATAACACAATGGTGTAGTAGAGATAAGGAATTAAGTATTGTTAATGTTAGGTGGATAATGGCGTAAAATGTTTCCCAATTGGGAATTGCACTAGTTTGTTGCCTATGTCCCTAACTAAGTGCCCTACATATCAGATTTTACACTCCATTTTGAGTAATGGGTTAGCAGAGAGCCATCTATGGGCGATCTGTAACCGTTAAGCAGCTTATCTTTATTTTACTTCTCATAAGATTGCGAAGTTAAGACCTAGGGTTCTATAGCGCATTATTGTATGCTGTCTTGTAAACACAAAGGGTCGTGTGGCGCATTATTGTATGAGGTCATGCAAACCCTCCGGGTCATGTGCATATAGGTAAGCAGCTTTGTGGTAGTGTAACTAAGTCACATAAAGTTTTCTTAGTAAAGGTGACGTGAATAGAGTTTTGGAACTCTATAAGATAGAGAATTCTAAGCATAGCGCTTTATGTAGCCTAGGTTAGAATGGAAAGAAATTTCCAATATCCTAGGGACAGTGAGAGCGATGTGCCTACTAATGGATTACTCCATT